AGACCTAGAGAATTTGTGTGAGCCAAGGCAGAGGCCAGAAAGCACACTAAGTCCCTTCCTTAAGGGTAGGAATTTGTCTTAGTTAAATCTTCCCAAGTGCCTGACACATTTTTTCTCTACACACTAACACGTTTGTTTTGTTGTATTTATTTGCTAAGTAATAGGAAGGTTTTTGAGGAATGGAATGCTGTGAGCAGAGCTGTGCATTAGGAAGATTAATCTGGCAGCAGCATTTAGGATGAATTCAAAGGAGAATAAACTGGAAATGGAAAACCCTCATCTTCCATTGGGGGTTGGAGGCCATGGTAGAGAAGGAAAAGGGGAGACAGATACTAGAGATATTATAGAGGCAAAATCAGCTTAGGACTTCGAAATTAAACGGGGCAGGAATGATTGAAAATTATCAAAGGAAAGATTTGAGACCTAGGTTACTAGAAAAATAATGGCCCTATTCATAGAAACTGGGAAGTCAGAAAGAATTGTTGGCAAGGAGAAGATAATGAGTTATATTTTTGGAAAGTTAGAATCTGAGATCGTAATAGGACTAAATTTACATCCAAGTTGCTAGAAATAGGAAAATAGCATGGCAAAAGAACATATCACACCTTCAGCCCTTATCTAGATATAGGTGGGTGGCACAGTAGGTTGAGTTAGTCAACCAGCCGACCAGCAGGTACCTACCACATGACAGGCATTTTTATGCTAAGCCCTGGAGATACAACAAAAGGCAGAAACATTCCCTGATTTCAAGGAACTCATAGTCTAATGGGATAGACAATATGCAGACAACTATACAAAAGATGTATACAGGATAATTTGTAAATGATCTTTGGGGAAAAGCACTAGAATCAAGAGGGGCTTTGGCAAGGCTTCTTACAGAAGAGGGGATTTTTAGCTTAGGCTTGAAAGAAACCAAGGAACTGGGGAGGGAGAGGGTGAAATAAAAAGAGAGAATTGTAGGCATGGAGGACAACCAGTGACAATTCTCAGTGTAGAGAGGGAGTATCTTATGAAATGATCATCTAGGAGGCCAGTGTTACTGCATCCTAAAATATGCGGAGGGAAAGGCAGCTGGGGGCTAAGTTATGAAGGGCTCTAAAAATCAAACCAGATAATTTTATATTTGATCCTAGAGGTGATGATAGGAAGCCACTGGAGTTTATTGAATAGGAAGATGACATAGTCAAACCTTTAGGAAGATGAATTTGACTGCTGAGGGGAGGATGGATTGGAGTAGGGAGATCAAGCAGAGATATCAGCCAGAAAGTTGTTGCCTTCAGTATGAGGTGATAAGAGTCTAGTGGCATATCAGAGTAGAGAAGGAGGCATATGAAAAGATATGACAAAGATAAAATCAACAGGCATTGTCAACTGATTGAATTTTGGGTACGAGAGTGAGGAATCAAGGGTATATGCCTGTGTTGCAAGCCAAGGTGAAAAGCAGGATGGTAGAGCTCTTGACCTTAATGGGGAAATTACAAAGAGGGGAGGTCCTGGGGAAAAGAGAATGAGTTCTTTAGCACTAGAATGAAGTTAGGAAGGCCTAGGTTCGCATCCTGCCTCAGAGACTCACTGAGCCTTTGATTCATCTTTTTATGAAGTGGGGATAATCAATAGGATCTAATTTGGTTTTCATAAAAATAAGAAAAAATACATAAAGTGCTTAGCTCACATTGCTATTTGTTCATTTAAAATATGGGGCTGGAACTAAAGACAAGCATAAAACTGGAATTACAGGTCAATAAGGGTGATAACTTGAAGACATTGAAGCAAATGATACCACTAATGCATATACAGAGAGAGAAGAGAGTTGCTCACAATATCTCAGAATTAATTCTGTATCTAAGGGACAAAAGGAAAAACAGAAGTTAAATCAAAGTTCTGTGTCATAGAAGCATATAAAGAATTGTCAAGTGTGGGGCAGCTAGGTGGTGCAGTGGATAGAGTACTGACCCTGGAGTCAGGAGGACCTCAGTTCAAATCCAGCCTCAGACATATAACACTTACTAGCTGTGTGACCTTGCTCCAGTCCCTTAATCCCATTGCCTGTTCAGCAGTGTCAGAGGATTGAGAAGATTAGACCTGGGAAAAGACCATTAGGTTTAGCAATTAGGCAGTCATTCCTGATAGTTTAGTATTGGGGAAGAAACCAGATTATGAGGAGTTGAAGAATAATTAAATGATGAAGAATGGCAGGCGATGAATGTATGATATTACATTCTAGTTCAACAAGAAAACAAAGGAAATAAGATGGAGTGTGTAGTTCAGAGGACAGTATTTGTTCTCACAAGGGAAGACCTGAGCATGTTTTTTGGTAGAGACCAATTGGAAAAGGAGAGATTGAAGGTGCAGGGTTTTTTTTTTAAAGTAGTACATAAGGGGGCAGCTAGGTGGTGCAGTGGATGGAGCGGTGGCCCTGGAGTCAGGAGGACCTCAGTTCAAATCCAGCTCCTAGGAGATTTTTGCCCCAGGAAGTTAAGGAAGGACTAAGAGGTCCAAGGATTTCTGCTAACCACATCTTTGGTGGTCCAATGTACTAGAAGAGAGAGAGAAATTTAATATTGAGGGTTCCTATTAGCTATTTTTGAGGATTCCTATTAGGCCATAACAATGGCCTAAAAATCATAAATCATATAAATAATGCTTAAATGTGGTGCATTTGTTGGGGGGGGGGGGATTGCCATATTCACAGGTTTGAACAGTATTCTGTTTAGATACATTTCCACTAGCAGATTATGTGTATACTATGTCAAACTGAACAGTTATTGACCACTATGAATAATTCTTGAAAATTCATAAGTATTGAAAAAACAATATATTTTTAACTTCACAGTTAAATCAAGCATTTGCAACAATACTTAGGTAGCACGTCATAGTTATTTAGATAGAATGAGGAGCAGCTTCATTATAGAATGAATAATTTTAATTTTTTGTGAGGAAAGGGAAGGGAAATAGCATTTATGGAAGTTCCTACTATGTGCAAGACACTATACTAAGTCTAGACCTATTATCTCATTTGATTTTCACAACAACTATTCAAGGTAGGTACTATTATTGTCCACATTTTACAGTTGAGGAAACTGAGGCAAACAGGTTAAGCAACTTGCCCAGGGTCACACAGCTATTAAGTGTCTGAGGCCATATTCTGTACATTAAAAACAAAAATTACGGAAAAAAGGGTATAGCTAAGGATGTGTGACAGTTAATTTAGTTATTTGAAAATACAGTGGACAGTCCTTCCACTTCACTACTCATAATATTTATTTTTTAAAAAAAGAATAGTTTAGAAATCAATTATTATACAATATGGGTCAGTAATAGGCTAGAAGACCAGAGTAAATAAGTACAGAAATTCCATATTAAGCAGGACCCATTTAGGTGTCTTGAACATAGCAGATAAAAAAATATTTGTTAATTGGATTTAAACCAGTGTTAGGCATTAAAATATTTCTATAGCCTTTGCTACTGGGAAGGGTGAGGCTGGTAGGTCTCAGGAGTTATGAGCTGCAGTAGAAATAAAGCTCTGTCTAAATCTACCACCAGTAGGATGAGCCCCTAGAAGTAGGGGCTCACCAGAATGCCTAAGGAGGGAGAAGCTGGCCCAGGTTAGAAATGGAGCAGATCAGAGCTTTGTACCAATCTGCACTGAGGTCAGGCCTGTGAGTGGCGCCTGTACTTCAAGCCTAGGTAAGGTAGGGAGACCCAGTGTGCGCTCACACACACACACACACACAAATTGATTTAAACCAGCAAAATGTTATTTCTTTTAACATATACAGTATAAATATAAACTATTATCATAAGATTCATAAGATTTGGATTTTTTTTTTCATTGTGACAAAGTGGTATTCTACAAAAAACATAACTCCCATTAGCAAAATACGATTATTTAAACCCTTTAGGACTAGTAGTGCAAATATACCACTTCAAAGGAAATCCTCAAGGTTTCTCTAAGTCTGACAGAAACTGACATGGAATCAAGTAGAACTAAGCAAATCCTGGTCCTACACACTACACTGATTTACCTTTCTCTATAAGCTAGGTTCTATTATTATCCTAATTTTGCAGTTGAGGAAACTGAGTCAAATCACTTGCCCAGCCAGGGTCACACAGCTAGTAAGTGGGAGGCTAATAGGACATACAGGATAGGAATGAACAAAAACCCATAAACACCTTAGACATTTTTCCTCTCTGCCTTATTTTCTTCAACTATAAAATAAGGGTAGTGGATTCTGTAATGTTCAAGTTTCCTTTTAGCTTTAACAAAAGCAAAAGTATATAGGAAAATGTTAGACTCTAGGCAGATTTTTCAGACTCACGTGTTGTCTCTTTAAATATTAGGTCATGAGGCCAGGTTTAGAGACTTCTAAATGTATATTAATAGTCCCTCAACCTTGGTATTTAGTTACTTATTCACAAAACTTGGTCCATCTCTTCCTCTTGGTACCTGGGTAGCAGAGAGTTTTAAAAATGCTTTCCATTAGGCAGTGGAGAGCACATCTTTCTGAAAGGGCATTAACAAACTGGAAGGCATCAGAGGGAGGTAAGCAGGGTGGTAAGGAGTCCTGAAAGAATACTAAATGATTTTGGTTAGAAAAATTGGGAATGCTTAACTTTGAGAACACCAGACTTAGGGATAGATATGTTCAAGACAAAAAAAAACTTGAACTGTTTGAAAGGCTGTCATCTGGAAAAGGGATTAGACTTATTCTTTTGCAGTGGGTGGTAGTTTTAGAGAAGTAGTTTTAGGCTGGACATAAGGGAATACTTCCTAATAATTAGCACTATCCAGTGGTGAAAAGGGCTCCTTTGGGAGATAAGTACCTTCTAACCGAAGAGTCTTCAAAGAGATGACAAGTGACCTCTTCTAGTAAAGGGGATCCAGGCTTCAGGTTCTCACATTGGCCTAGTTGACCTCTGAGGTCTCTCAGGACTTGGACATCATGTAATTCTGATTCCAACAGACAGTGGAGGAGGGATCAGAACTGTGTTTTACTCACCCAGTGAAATATCAGGTTATCAAATCATGACCCAGTGATCTTCTCCTAAACAAAATGAAAAACGGATATTCAGAGAAATGGGAATTAAAAACCAGAAGCAGTAGAACCACTAACCTGCCTAAATTACAGTTTTAAGAAAGTACTTACTTCTGTTAGGTTACCAAAATTTCCTCTAATTCTTGCTACATTTTCAGCAATGAATTTAATTGCCCGAAACCAATATATATGTTGAAGTGCTCCTGATTCAGTAATCTCCACCCCACAATGGTCAGATTTTCAAATTCTTAACCTTCAGGAGGCAATCTTTTTAATTTTTTTTTTGTCAGTAGAGGAGCCATACTATTAACTGTTTAAAAAAATTTCCCTTTTTTTCCTTCCATAGTTTCATAGCATCAGTTAGTTTTGGCCATGAACAGCAGTCTGGGAAATAAAATAAAGTTAAGGTATTCATCCTAATTAAATTTGTGAAAAAAGCACCCAACACATATTTCTTTACTTCTGCACTTTACACTGCACATACCTTCAAATAAATCGAGTCAGCCAACACTCAAACTGTATCACAGAACAGATCTGAAAGTCACCAGGTCAAAGGTTCTTTGCTGACACTGTTAAGAGTATGAAATTCAGTAATTAAGCCCTAGTTTTACAAATAAGTACCAAAAATATACTAGCCCTCCTTAGGATTTTTACTACTTTATAAAGTATAAACAATATGATGTACTCTGATATATTGTTGTTGTTCAGTTGTTTCTGACTCTTTGTGACTCCATTTGGGATTTTCTTGGCAAAGATACTCTGATATAGGTAGTAAAATAAAACCCACCTTTGGCAAATAATTTTAAAAATTGATGTCTTTTTAGAGAGCTTATTGACCTAAGCATCTGTCTTACAAGTTGGCATACTAATAACTTACTGGTAATGAATTTAGCAGTTTTCAGAACATCCTGGTATCACTGTGAAAGATACTTCAGTATTCCAAAGGATCCAGAATTTCTTTTCTGTGGGTACACACTCTACTACAGGGATTCCATAGGCCCCCTACGTCAATGGATAGATTTCATCAAGTCCCCTTAACTTGGACAGAAAAAAAAAAAGTTAATCTTTATTTTCACTAACCTCTAACTGAAATTGGGCATTTTCTTCAGTTAATTTAGAATATTCTGAAAAGAGGTCTACAGGCTTCATCAGATTATGAACAGGATCCATGACACAGAAAAGATTAAGAACTCCTACTCTATTAAGAGTTATTGTGACCAAAGAATTCATCATCCTGATGACTCTATAAACTTAGCTATGCTCATCTTTGAACAGGTACAATATCTCCTTCACAGAGCCAGGACCAGAGCCTTTCCCAGCTTGATAGGACCTTCTCCAAAGTATGTGTTCCATTAGAAAGTCTTCAAGAATCTAGCACAGGGAGAGGTAGTATTTTAATGGAAGCTGGTGAATAAAATAAAAATTCAATTCAGTAAACATTTAAGTGCTTCCTATTTGAGGGGCACCCTCAAAGACAGTTGCTTCCCTCAAGAAACTTAATATTCTACCTGAGTGTATAACTACACAGCTAAATAAATACAAAACCCACTACATTGTTCAGTTCTTGAAGGCTATGACTTTATTTCTTTTTTTGTTTTTTGTATCCTCAGTACTAAAGCACAGTGCCTGGTGCATAGCAGGCACTTTAAAAATGTGTATTGGCTGTCCACAAAGTAATTTCAGAAAGAAGCCTGTACTAATGACTGGTGAGAATGAGAAAAGGCTTCTCTTTGGAGGTGGCAGGTGAACATGAATGAATCTGGGGATTGTAAGAGACCAAGGTGAGGAAGAAATACCTTCAAGCCTGGAGAAAAATTGTGCAAAGGCAGGTTGGTAGAAGATGCCATGTCAAGTTCTGGAAGTAACTAGTAAGTCAGCTAGCCAACATGTAGAACTTGTAAAGGGGTATAATGTAAAATAAGTCCAGAAAGATAGATGAGAGCAATTATGGAGGTTTTAATACAAGGTTGAGGAATTGGTATATCCTTGAAGAAATAAGGAAACATTTGAGATTTTTGAACAGGGGAATATGTTTAAACCTCTATCATAAAACATATTTGTTTAGCAAAGCATAGATTTGGAGAGGGGGATAGACTGGAAACAGAACCTAGAGAATTAGGAGGACATGGCAATAATGCATAGAAAGGTGATGAGAACCTGAAGTGAGGTGGGGGATGTGAAGTAGAGAGGAGGGGATGCATGTGAGATGTGGACACAGAATCAAGACTCAAAACTAATTGGACAGAGGGGGAGAGGGAAAGGGAAGAGTTGAAGAGTCGACTGACCTTATAGAGTAGTAACAAGAAGGATGGTGTGCCCTCATCAGAAACAGCATAGTGTGGGAAAGAAATGTGTAATATTAAGCTTAGGTCAGAAGCTACTTTAAAATCTCAGGAAGGAGACAGACACAGAAAAAATAACCAAATAAAAATCGAGGAAGTTGAACTAGGTGGCCTCTGACAGTCCTTCCAGCGCAACATCTATCATTTAGCAAACACAAGGGAATGCACAAGTGAAAAGGGATCGCTTTACTTGGCAAATAACTGGCCAGAAAGACCTAAGGACTTTTTTTAAAAAAAGCTGGATGACCTTATCATAGGATCGTAGTTATTTATAGAGCGGGAAGGGCTCTCAGTAGCCACCTGGTCAAAGTCTCTCATCGACAGATGTGGAAACTGAGGCTTAGGGAGATAAAGCGACCTGCCCACGGTTACCCAGGGGTAGTAAGTGTTGGAGCCATCCAAGTCCTCTGACCCAGAGCCAGTGAGCTTTCCACTGTAACATGATACCCACATAACTTAAAAGTAACGAACAGAAACTAGGAAAATAAAAGTGGGCCTGTATACTCCACCATACGCCTAAATCTCAGTTCTGTTCTGAGTGCTGATAATTCAGCTTACCAAGGACTGCACACTTAGACTTTTTTATTGGTGTAGTCATTAGTAGTAATTAAAGAGAAGGGGATTCGTCCAAGCAAAGTCTCTCTTGAACAGTGTGCCCTACACACAGGCAGCCTAGAGGAGGGAAGGAGTCCGTTGATCCTCAAAAACCATTCCTTCCAAACTCCCTAAATCTATGTAGAGATGCCACTAATACCCGCTTGGACTGTGGCTTTGGGTAGCACGCGTCTGAGCCGGCTGCAGCGCAGAGACTGACGGATGTGCTCAGACAGAAACACACTTATCGCATGGGTAAATTCACACAGTCTTACAAGCATTCTCTTATTCGGAGTGTTTCTAAAGGATCGGTTGCCCACCGTTTTCTTTTACGTTTATCCTAAACCACACTTGTTTACTTCGATCAGTTCATTAAACGGGAAACTACCTACAGACGGTTGCTGCGTTGCTGTAGCAGTTGGCTAGGTCTCTGCGGTTGAGAGGCGTGAGGGAGGACGCATGCGCCGTCACAGCAACTAAAGGATGTTGAAGTGGGGGACGCGGGGCGCGAAGAGTTTGATGCGCATGTGTAAAAGACTCGAGGGAGGGAGTGGAGAGTTGGGTGGGGTTTTGCGCATGCGCAAAAGTTGTTGGGAAAGTGAAGGGGGAGGGATGAGGGGAGAGATATTGACAGTAGTAGCCGCCCGCGTTCCCGGCATGCCCTGGGGCGGCGGGGTTGGCTCTAACGAATTTGAATGAGGAGCCCCTGCGCTTTCGGCGCCATTTTCGAGTGATGCCTGATCGCATCAATTCAGCGGGAGAGACTGGTCACTCTGGCCTGGGTGGAGAACCCTATGGAGAACCTGCCGAAAAATCACAAAAAAATACAAAAAAATTTCCTGTAGATGGAGGCGGTTCGGGGAGCTTCTTTGGGGCCAGCGCCATCGGTAAGGAACTGAGGAGACGGCGGAACGCCACCAGGGAGGCGGCAGCGGCGGCAGAGGGGGAGGGGGCTCTGGGGAAAGGGCGCAGAATCCGCCCTCTCCCAGGACAGGAAAATTCCCCCAGCCGGGGGACCAGGGCTAACCTGGGCGGGAGGGATTGGGCGGCGGCCGGTGGGTTGTGGCGGGAGAGGGAGAAGTGGAGGTGGGGGAGGGGAGCTTAGTTTGAGCGGGACCCGGCTGAGCCGCGGCGGTCGCGCCGAGGCCGCCCGGGGATCTGTCATCCCTGCTCCTCCCCGAGAGCCGAGGGGAGGGGGAGTCAGGGCTGGGGGTGGCGGGTCCCGGCCGCCGCGCTCCTTGACAGCGGCTGGCGGGCTGTCCCTTGCGCTTATCCCGCCGCGCACTCGCCGCGACCCCGCATTTCTGAATTCCCAGACGCTGGGTGCCCCGCGCCCTGCTCTTGCTCCTCTGACGGACTCTTCCTCGAGACAGGGAAATTGGGGAGGGGGGAGAATTCAAGAGCCTTAAGCAACCGGTGTCCGGAGACTCGGCAGTGTGCAGAGCTGGCTGCCCGCTGCCCAGGTGGACAATTGGTTTTCCTTGCGAGCCTGGCTCCGGACGTCCCGAAGGGAGGGCTGGACGCCCCGCAGCCGCTGCCCCCCGACCCCGTTCGGGTTGCTGGCAGGGAGGGGACTTGTAACGGCGCCTAATTTCTCCTCTGGTGGGGGGCGGGGGTTCGGAGGTGGCACCCCTGCTCTGGCCTCTTGTTTTCTCCTGCGGTTTGTCGGGTTTGGTTTTGTTATCATGGTGGGGGTGAGGCTTCGGAGGTGCGGCTCCCTCCTTTCCCCGTGGACCTAGTTTACTTCTGTTTCTCAGACACGTCGCAGTCAGAAAAGGCGATTTGCCAAGCGTTTCCCCCCGAAAAGTCTCCCCTTGGATTTGCTGGATGATTTATCCACCTCCATCTCCTTTAGAGAGCGCGCTTGTCTCCGTGGGGTAAGGAAGTGTTCCTTGTCGTTGGCTTAGTCGTTGTAGGTTGTTCTCTGTTGATTGTCAGGACCTTTTTGCTCAACAGCTCACGAATGACCGTGGTGATTGCTTTAACTTCATTTATGTAGTGCTTTATGCGTAATGTACCTTGTAAAATTCTTTCAGTGAAGGAAGATACGTATTCTAGATCTTGCCCCCCGCCTTTCCTCCAAATCGCCCGATTAACCCCTCTCTGTCGTGTACTTGGCATGTGGGGCGCTCGCCCTGGGAAGATGGTTTTTGCTTCAGTTATTGGGTTGTTCACCAGGGGAATAACGATGCACGGCGAACACAATTCACGCACTGTTAACTGGGGATTGGACTAAACATTGGGTTTATTCCGGAATTACTGCACGGATTAAGTTCGCGGGGGGGGGGGGTTGCCTCCGGGATGGACCGGACCGGCTTCGCTAATTGGCCTTTTCAAAAGAAGAAACGAAGGGGAAAAGTGGCCTGATGATTTTCAAATTTTGTGTAGTATTGGACCTAAAAAAGTACGGGACTGGAGGGTAGATCTGTCTCTTGCCCCCCGATTGGCTGGCAAGAAGCGGTTTGGGAGTTTGAAGGTTGAACTGGATGGTGGTATTTTCGATTTCCCCTGGTCCCTGGGCTAATTAATGCTCAGAACCTGTAAATTTTACTTAGAACTCCTGTAACTTGGAAATAACTAATTAATGGAAGGTGACCAGCGAAAAATGGTGTTAAAGTTTAAAATCGTTTTTAAAAAGATTTTCCAGTTATCTAAAGTTTGTGATTTTAAAGTAAAACAGTAGAGACTATGACTTTACAAAATAGTGATCTAAGGCAACACATTTAAGACTTTCGTATTTTGAAACCTTAGTTTTCATTGGTTAATGAAGCAAATGGGCATTTTTTTTAAAATTACCTATGTTAAATTTAGACTTTATTTACTTTTATTTTGATTTAGATCTTTTTTTTCCTTTGAGAGAAAAACATCCTATTTGTGTGAATGAATACACAAATTTTTTGTATATGTATTCACACACATACATATATATGTACACATGTATTTTAACCTAATTTTAAACTGAAAAGCTTTTCCTACAGGTTTTCATGAGTGGGAAACAAAATTTTTATAAAGATATTTTATAACAAATGTCATTAAACACAAGGTTTGGTCAGTCTGCCATTAATTTTCAATAAATTTACGCTGCTTCATACTTTATATCCCATAAGAGGTAGACATTAAGTATATGTGTACATCATATTTCATACTTTTGGTGGTGAATTCACTACCTAGAAATGTTCCTTTCTCTTTTGTAATTTTATTTTTTAGTAACTTGTGTTTGTTTAAATACTATTAGAAGTAGATTATTTTCCGATTTATTTCTGAAACTGTCATTCTCATTTCAGTTAGGCATGATAAAAGAAAGGTGGGTGTGGTTTTCAAAGAAAAGAAGTAAGCGCTGATAAACCAGGTGGCTGTAGATGTTGTACAGATAATTCTTTTGTATTTCCTAAGTAGATTTTCTTCATATTTTGATTCATATGATGGAACATTTTCGTTTTGTTCTTAAATTCTCACATTAGGTAAAGGATAAGTTCTTAGAAAACATTCAAGTAATTTTTAAATAAAATATTTAAAGAGACATACTTTTTTATGACACCCATATTGATAAATTGAAACTGTCTTGTGATCAGACAAATAGTATTGCTTATAAACAGAATCTTGTATGTTTTTCATTTCTAAGTTGGAGAGTTTCAAGAATATATCATTAAAGGAGGGATGACCTTCAAAAAATTTTTAGGGAATGAAAGTATTAAATGATCACTTACTAGAATCGGATGTGGGTCATAATTTTGTTTTGTTTTGTTTTTTTACTTTTCATTTTCTTTAAAGCTGTTATGAGAATTTTCAGAAGGTAGGAAATGTTCGATCTAATCATACTGGTCAAATTTAAGTATTAAATATATGAAGTGCCGTTATTTTAAATTTATTTTGTGTTTAGAAAATCCTTCATGTGAAAAAGGTGATAATTTCATGAATTCCAGATGTAACAAATACATCGTTTTGAGCTTTATATATGAATGGGTGTTAATTGATAATGATAATAAAAATAACCAGATTTTAATGACTTCTTTAATGTGATTTCTAGCTAACAGTGAAACTTTGTTTGGTTTTAGTGATAAGTAGATATATATTCCAACAGGTGTAAATTAGAAATATGTACTTGTACACCTTTATTTCTACACAGAATCGTGTTTTATTTATTAGTATATATGAACACAAGTACTCTTCTAATAATAGTGGTTATTATATATTGTGATAATAGAGTGGTTTTACTTTTTAGTGGCCTATATACTTGTAGTAAATTATTAGGGTACTTGGCTAGTATTGTGTGGGTTACCAGAATATATAACTATAATTATTAAAATATTTTTATTTATAAATGTGTGTTTTTAGTTTGTTAACCATTCAGTCAAGCAACATGCATTGATTAAGTGCCTGCTATTTGCCAGGTACTGTGCTAATCAGTGGGCATACAAAAAAGTCCCCTCCTCCCCCCAGAAAAAACCCCAAAGTTATGCAAGATCTAAAATGAAATTAATTTTTCATTGGAAAAATAATTTAATTCTTTTATTTTGCTAGGATCCTAACATTTTATGTATGTAGACTTCTGTAGTACAACATTGCATATTTTTCCAGTCACCTTAATAATTGATTTTTTTTAATAATCAATACTCCAATGGTGAGAGAACCGAAAACACTTTGTTTTCAAACTTTTCCCTTTTGTTATATTTTTAACTGCCTCCTTTTAGGGTGTTGTGAAGCCTTTTGTTTAGAGTTTTCTATTGTAGTGACTTCAGTCATAATAAAATGTAACCTACAAAAAGAAATTTTTGTAGAATAATTATATTTACCGAAAGGGAGAATGTGGTAAAAGACCTAGTGTAAACTTTCTTTATTTTTGCATTCAGTAGTTTATAGCAAATTCAAATTAAATAGCCAATTTCCTTTTTTTAACTTTTTTTTTAATTAAAGAACATGAGTTAACAAAATTTTGTCACTTTATTTGTCGAACTGTTTTAGGTTGTTACTTGAAATTGGCCCTTGTGTCAAGACTTCTGTCTTTGTTTAATGGAGCTTAAATCCACACATGTATTGATTTCTTTAACCCTTTCTAGAAAGAACAATATGACTTTGTCTGATTTTACTGGAAGAAACATGTTAGATAACCATGTCTTATTAGAGATTTAATGGATCTGTGATTTGTAGAAGTAATTATGATACAGATTTTTATTTTTTTTCTTCAATAAATGCTTCCCCTGACATTCCTCCCCTACCCTCAAACTTTTAGGACTAAAGGAGTTCCAAAGCAAAACTATGCTTTTATTCAGGTACTAAATATTTGAATTTTGAATTTTCAACCGATATTTCTATATAATTTTAGTTTCTTAAGTCCATTTACAATTAGTTTTTATTTTAAAGAAGTAACACATTAATGCTAGGTCATCAGTATTAATCATATTCATGCACATTCGTATTTCAGTCTAATTTATTGTATTTATCTCTGAATATTTTTATTTTTCAATCACCATGTTTCCTAATAATGAGGGAAATAGATATGGCCCTCATTAAGTTGCTTTAATATCTAAAATAAGATCAACCTTTTGAAACAAATCACAGATACTTGAATTTACAGGCTTCAAATATGTCTAGTAAAAAAGGTCTGGATTCTGTTCTAATATTTTTCATAACATTTCGTGATGTTTAATATGCTAAGAAACAGAAAATATTTATTTGTGCTATCAGAAAGTTGCTCAGATTTTTAATTTCCCTTGTTACTGCTGCATTTGTTCAGAAGCAAATCCCAAAATATCACCTGAAAATAGTCTTCCCAGTAGAAATAGAAGTTAAACAGAAAACTTTAACTATGTGCTTGTATTTGTGAAAGTGTTTTCTTAACAATGAGAAGTTATTTACTAAGAATGTTTTCTTAACAAAATAATGTATGATTTCCTAACAGAATGTGGAATTACACAATATTCTTACACTACACTTGAAATTTGATTCCTTATGTTTTAGAATTCCTTCTCCACCTTTTCTTCTTGCCCTATACATATGACATTAATATTTGGTTTATAATGTTCTTAATCTTACTTTCATTACCCTTGTCAATATAGTATTGTCTTATTTAACGATCTAACATTTTTCTTGGATTCTGCTTTAAAATAGCATCCCTTATATAATTTTAAACTCACTTAAAAAATGTGTAGAAGTGTATATATACATATGGATAAAAGTTAAATAGATTCAAATATTTTAGTTGGTCTTTGGAGGATTTTGCATGTTGAAGGAATGCTTTTGGATTTTCTTTTGAACAAATGTTGCATTTGAAGGAAGGTTTAAAAAATCTTGAGAAATAAAGATGGTTTGAAATTTTTTCTTAAGTGAAAATGGAAAATTTCAAGTACTGAAGTTCACTTTAGTTAACTAGTATTTGCCATCATTCTTTGTTGATATAAAAAATAGCATTTAAAATCTGTTATCATTGGAACATGAGAAGGCTAAACAATAAATGTTAAATGGGAAATGTATATTTGGTCACATCATTCTTAGCATAAGACAACCAAAATGATTTGGCCAAATAATCATTTCAGATCTGTTTCTTGCTTGTTAATAAGAGTATCTTTTTTGCATAAGTTTTGATTGAATGGACTCATTATACTATGGTCTTCCTTCATGTTTTCTGTTATTTAAACTTTATTTCAAAATTGGTTATTAAGGACTATTATAGTAGACTACATAGTAAATGCTACTTTGGATAAATTCATTTATATTTGTATAATTATTTAAAAATTTGACAATTTGGGGACACGATTGATTAAACAATTTGTCCCAAATACACCACCATCTTTTTAGCAATTTGAGGTGTGGTGTATTTTAGGAAGAGCAGTTAGCCACTCTAAAATCATCAAACTCTTTTTTAAAAAATGTAAAATAACATTTTCAAGTGTAACAAGTCTTGGGTAGCAATTCCAAATAACCTACCTAATTAGCCATACTATAGTTATTATGCATTCCTCATATCTTTCCCCACCCTTCCTACTCTCTAAAATGAATGTTGTAAAAAGAAATGAAAGCAGAAACATTAATCTGATTTGAAGAGGCTTCTGAAGATAAAGAAGCATATCACAGGTGTTTCTAATCAGCCAGTCTTTAAAACCAGCAGTATTTTCACATTAGGACTTCCCCTGAACATAAGCAAGGTGAGGGTCATTTTGATGACCTTACATCTATGTTTAAGGATCAGCTACAGAACTGTGGGTGTCGGAAATCTGTTGAGTGTCTTCGAGCTATAATACATGACATTTTTATTGCAGGTTTTGACCTTTCTATAGAGGAGAACTGATTCTGGAGAACAACTTAACTTCTGTGATTGAAAACCCCTGTGTTCTATGTGAAAAGAGATGGGAGATTAAGGTAGATTAATGAATTTATTACTTCTGTGGTTTCATATTTAAGAACTCAAAATTTTATGTTTGACTTTTGATATATGATTGAACTGTTGTTGTAGTTTAGGATTTTAGTAAAGTTAAGCAGACTAACTTTTCATTTGTGAAGAAAATTTGAAATCAGCCTCTCCATTTAAAAGACTCTGTGAGGAGTCAAGTTATGTGTAAGAAAACTGAGTTTGTAAGCAGTTTTTGGAATTACAAGAAATTTACTACAAAGTGATTCTCTTATGGATAGTTTCTCCAACTGAAATTTTAATGAGGGTGAGAAGGGGGAAGTATGCATAATTAAAGTGGTTTTTTGTTTGTTTGAATTTATTCTATTGTAAATAAGTCATTTTGTGGTTTACAATAGAGTTTTGTTGAAAGGAATTAACATTTGGGTAGTTTTGAGGGGTGGGTTCTAGATAGCTTGCAAAATTAATTTTCAAGAAACATTCATTTGTATAATTAACAGAATAGTGTTTAAAAAAAATGAGTACGAAATTAATATTAAGTCTTGATCTAGACAAGAATGCCAGTTTGGTTGAAACTGAAAACCTCACTGTCATTTAAGCAACAATAGTCTTACATGGAGCAAAATGTTTAAATTGCTCAAATCACATATTGTAATAAATGCTAACTTTATGTGCTAAATCTTAGAATAGCATGCCTCTTAATGCCTTTAATTTTGTGGGAAATGATTTAATAACAAACTTTTAAATAACAATTTATATTTTTCTGGAATCTTTTCCTTTTGGTCTGGGACATTTGGAAATTTAAGCTAATGACAAGAGTTTTCAAAATAGGAACTTTAAGTCTCTTAATTTAAACATACTAAACAGTACAGTTGAAATATTATCAAAAGTAATAACATTTTCAAGTAATGTCATCTTAATTTTTTTATGTTCCTTACCAGAACATTCTTTACATCAATTTTTTATAAATGGTGTAATTAGAATTTTAAGATAACTGAAATATAAGTTTGATTTTTAGTGTTCTTAAGGTTTTTTGTGGTTTTTTCCCCTGTTAAGTGTTAATCTCTATTCCAATATATTAGTCTCTTAAGTTGAGGAAAATCAATCTTTTAACATTTGGAGTGAATGAAATAATTGTAAACATATTATAAAGGTACTTTTATGACTAAATCATGATGGTTTTTTTTTATTTAAACTTGCAGTAGTAAACACATGGGCTATACAAAGTGTGTGACTATTAAAATATGAAATTGTGTCTTTGATTACAGTACAATTGGGATAAGGATGAGTAATTTTTCTCTTTCTCCTCACCTTCCCCCCATACAATTATAAAACATAAATAAGCATTAGCATCCCATGCTTAGATTTTTTTTTCATTTGCTAGAAATGTATTGGTGTAACTAGCTGATTGTATTTTTTATTTATATTCCCAAATGATAAGCTTAAGTCAAATAAATATTGTCAATTTTATCAGTTAAAAGCATCTAAAAGAAAGGTGAAATTTTATAATTATCTAAATATTTAGAATCAACCAGATTTAATACATCACTTTTAAATTTAAAATTTTTTAGAACTTTTTACTGCTGTATCAGATGTAACAATTAGAGGAAATGTACACTTTTGCCCAATGTTTGTAAATACATAAATTGTGTTCGTTGCTGTTGAAGTGACTATATGTTCTTCAAGGGCTACTTCATAGAATTGCCTTTTCCAGACTTAAACCACTGATGCACAAACATTTCAGTAGCTTAAGTTTAGTAATTCCTTAGATCTATAAAAACTGTATAGGTGTATTTTCTTTTTCTTTTTAGTTGTGGACAGTTTTGCCTGACTGAAAAACTTAAACTAAAAAGTAATACCTCTTACTTAGGAGATAGATACTAAGTGCCATTAGAAGAGTGTAGCTGTTTATAATATACTTCTCCCTTTAAACGGGGTGAGGGGATATTTTACAAAATTGTGGCTGTTTCAGTTTAGGAATTGCTTCACTAGATAAGTTTATTTCCAGTTTATTTAGCAAACAATTTGTCAGCGTTTTTGGTGGCATTTTTATTTTCATGCTAATATTTATCTTTACTTTTTTTTCATCATTTATATTCCATATGTTTTCAGAATTCTCAACATATATAGGCTTTTGCAGAGAAAATCATAACTGGTTGCAAAGTGCTGTTATCCTGTCAACATGCTTGCGTTTTATTAGAATTTTTTTAATTTTCAGAACTATTGCTTTTCCTGAGTATTTCAGTAGCAAAGTAGAAATACAAATAAATCATATGATGAATAATACTATGTATGTAGTGTATTAGCAGAGTTACTTTAATTTTAGATAGTTTGTCTGTTGTAAAACTTTAAAGTGTTAATGGTAATTTCCCCCCCCCAAGGGAGCTTTTGGTGGTAAATTTATTAAATTATTTTTAAGCATTTAGCTTCATGTTTTTATTTTTATCTCAGTGGCAGACATTTTAAAATTATATTTCTAATGTGTACTTTTTAAAGGAAAAATATCTAATAATTTTAACCCTAAGCATTATTATTATTAAGTGATACTTTGGGTAAATTTTGTTTTTGTTTTTTAGGAAAAAATCATGTAAAATAAGCTGGAAATATTTTAGGTGCTTATAAAATAATATTTCTTATACAATCAAGGCTTAGCTAAAATGTTTACTGCTCTGATATTTTATTCATGTGTACATTACTGGGAGTTGGTTTTGCTTTTTTTGTGACTAGATCATCATTTGGAGAAGAAACAGCATGTTTCACAATGTGGTTGCTGAGACATCTGATTAATCCACTAGTTAAAGTTTGGGTAATCCATTGGTGTTTTGAGATATGTTTTTAGAAATTTTTAAAAAATCATATTTAGATGTTTACTGTAGAATTTTTTCTTTACTTTGAGTGACTAGGGTTTTGTTTTAGTTTGTTATTTTTTTGTGTGTGTATGTGATTTGGGGATGTTTGTGTTTTTGATGTATGACTCCTGTCAAAATAAACATAAGGAGTGTAATTTCTTGGGGACATGGTCAAAATTAGACTGTTATCTTCTAATGTTCTTTACCCATGTTACTTTTGTAGTGAACTTGAACATTATTTGCTTTTTAATGATGGGGCAGAGAAATTGCTTAGTTCTGGCCAAAACTATATTTAATATTCTCTTAAGAACAGTTTTAAATTATATAAATAATTGAATAAAATTTAATGTTGCACATTTTTCTTCTAATGCCATGTAACCTTTCGGGATGAGCAATATTTGTAGCTATTAAACGATGTGGGTAATACTTTGATTCTCATGTTTATATTTCAATAAATATCTATTGAGTTATCAGCTAAGTTCTTATCCTATTAAAAAGTAGAAGTGTCATATTTTTAAAACAGTTGTATGTTTTTCAAAAGAAAGAGCAGGCCAAATTTGCTTTTTCTTTCTATATCAGAGTTTGAAGTTGTAGTGCCAGGAGCCTGCTGTTTTTTCTTCTTGGATGGGACTTTCATATTTTATAGGTGAATATTGATGAGATACCTGAACTTGTTTAAGTTCGTACAGAAAGACTTGGTAAACTCTCCAGTATAGTTCACATCAGTTCCTCATCTCATACTTCTGTAAGCTAAATTTGGAGGAGTTTAGGTAGTTGAATTAGTAATTGGGTATAAATTTGGCAATTCAGGGTCATGTTATGTCATTAAAAGGAAATGAAAACTCAGAAAAATATAATCGTATTTTCCCCCCTCAATGAGCAGATGCTTTGCTCACAGCAGTGTACCCCAGCCCACTGTTTAAGCAGCTGCTGATGGGCATATCATCCCAGTCCTTGTTTCTGCCCTCTTGAAGCTGGGAACAAGTTCTTGGGAATCTGCTCTTTGTCAACTGCTAAACATTAAAAACATTAGTGTGCAGGAGTGATAGTATAGGGGGCTGTCTACCTATTAGTGGCTGAGAACCTGAGAGGGAATCAAACATATGCAGATTATACTAACTTAGGGGAAATTATTCTTCACAATAAAAAATACTGTTATAAATTGGTGGTACTATTGATAGCTTATTCATTACCATATATAACAAATTATCTCTTTGTAAAAGTATTTTCCCACTTAAATACAAAAGGCAAGAAGACTTTAGTAATTAGTTGCTTTGTGTAATTTGTTGTGTGACATTTAATTTCTTTTGTGCCTTTTCAGAATTACCTAGCAGAAATAAGTATTGATGTTTAGGAAGAAATTCTTAGAGAAAAAATACTTAATATATGTTGGTACCCAAATTTAGGTTCTAGCTGTCAGAAGAGAAGTGGAAGGGGGGGATAGCATCACATAGGAATCTTTTCTACTTTTAGACTAGGTACCATAGTGGCCAGCTTTGCATCTTACTTTGGATTCTGATACATCTTTCCTGATTTCATCTACCATCTCCTTAACTGCAGAAGCAGTGGCCAGTATTTGTTTACTTGCCAGCATGTGTGCCGGCATCACAGAACCAAGACAGCTAAAGAAAACTAAGTAGCTTAATAAGTCAAATGGAGTTAATATGTTTACAAGTAGAAACCTGTATACTTCATTTTTTGAATTCCTGCATTTTGTCTCAATATTGATACAACCTATAAAGGGCAACAGTTAAATTAGGACTTTCTCTTTTTCTTCATTACTATATAACCAGCCCACCTCCTTTTCTAGTAATACCTGGCATTGATGGTAAAATTTTTCTAACGAAAAAAGTCTTCAGCACAGCAGTTAGAATCTTACAAAGTTATTTACCTAAAGATGTAGGTAACAATTGTAGTGTGAAAAAGTCTGAGCCATTTAAAATCTGCCCTTGTAAAAGAGTATCCACTCTAGTGTAATCACTGGTTTGCTGAAGGATTAGAACAAGTTAAATTTTAATATCACAGTAGAATTTTTCTCTAAATTTCTGGTGTAAAAGTTTTAGAATTCTTCATCTTTCTTGACTAGTTAATAATTTGATAACAACTGGGATTTATATAATAATCATTTATATCTCAATAAATAGTTTCATAAAATTTTCCCCACTAAATCATAGAAATTTCCAATATAATAAAATGAATGCAGTTTCTGAAAAGTATGGGACTTTTACATATTCCTTATGTAAGCTAAAAAATGATTGTGGACAAATTACAAATAAAATTTTGTAGTGCTACCATAACTCCTTTATGACATAATTTAAAATCTTGGTGTTTAAAATAGCATATTTTTCAAAAAATTGCAGTGATTTTATGTTCTTCATTAATATGATATTCATTATTTTCAAGATGAATGCAAATGAAAGTTCCTTGGAAAAATACAAAAAATATTATCTGATATACTCGGTATTTGTAGAGTTGTAAGAATAAGAAGTTTAGCCACAAATTCTTGAGGTTATTATATTGCGTTTGTACACACAAAACTGCCTTAAAACTAGAACAGAAAAATAAAAATATTAAAGAAAATTCAAAGATGCAGTATTTGTATTTCCCTTATTATCCTTATCTGTAGAATGAGGGAATTAAACTATATATTCTCTGAGGTTACTTCTGGCTTCAAATCTAACGAATGTTTACCACAAAATTCAGTCCTTTTTTTTTTTAAAACTGCATTGTTTCTGTATTTATTCCAGTTAAAAAGGAGGATTTTTCTATATAATAAAAGTCATATTTTTCTCTTGGTCTTTCTTTAGCTCTTTTTTTTTTAAATACCTAAACAGATTTAAATGTATTCTGCCATTACCGTAAGCCACTTGTAAAAATTCAAACATTTTGCAGGTCGATTTATATACTTTGAAGAAGTGTTGTGATTGTTTTTAGTAATTTTTTTTTCCCCTGAAGGAGTGACTGTGTCTTGGGCCAAATTCCCTGCCATTCTTGTTATTTGGGCCATTTTAGTATATTGTGCCCATGCCTAGACAGTGCCAGACAGCACAGTGAAAATGTGGGGGTGGAATCAGTTATTTAGGTGCTTCACATTTTGAAACACCAAACTTTTTCTATTTTATTTGGTGTTTTTCTTTAAAAATAAAATAATTTTTACATCAGTGTATTGCTGTTTTGTAAAAGAGCTATAAAGCAGCATTATATGATATAGAGCTAGAAGGGACCTTAAACATCATCTAGTCTGATACCCTCATTTTGCAGATAAGGAACCTGAAGCCCCCCCAAAAATGAAATAGCCTACTTGGGATGTGAACAAATCTCTGATCCCTCTATTTTCTGTCCTGTGGTATATGTTTGCAGGATAGCTGTTTATGAGGGGTATTGAAAAGTCTAGCACTAAAAAAGAATAAAACTGACTGAACTATGCAGGAATCAAACTATAACCTTGTCCTCATTGACTTGCTAATTTAAAAGTTCTTTAATTTTTTTTTTAATCCTGAAAACAGGTAAAATTTTCTGCCTTGATATGCTGACAATCCTTTTTCATTATTGCAGGTAGAAGATCAACAATGAAACAAGAATTTTCTTGTTGCTGCCTCTTATATCTATGATATCTCAAATATCTTAATCATAAATTGCAAGCTAAATCTTAATTTTATCTAGTACTGTAGGTCATAACTTTAGGACCACATCATGTGTAAATGTTTAGGTATTTGCAGATTTCAGATATGTTGGCCATGAGTAACTTATAACAGAATGTTTTATGTATATATTCAATATATAATCTAATTCATATTTATTTGATATAACACAAAGTTTTAACTGAGTATCTGCCATGTTGTTATCTTCAAGCCTAGATCTTTCTCTTTTTTTGTAGTTCTCCAAATTGTTAGACCAATCTCTAGTTTCTGCCAAGCTTCAACCTTAATATGTAAATTTTAGACATCTTTGTAATTTGCTTTTAGTTTTACAGAAGATACAATTAGTAGAAAAATGGGCTCTTTTTCAGATAGAAGAAAATTAATATTTTTGCTAATTGTACTGAGATGTATGAGGATTAGAAAATAGACTTGTGTTACACCTTTAAGAATATGGATCACACTGGGGCATAAAAAAAGATTTTAAATGATCCATTTTCTATTAAGCTTTTTTTTAAATCTTTTCTATTTTTTCCTAGGCTATAACAAATTAAGATAGGCTGTACTGGTACTATGTGATAACAACTTGTTGGCCTCAATTGAACAAGCATTCTTGTAAGTATTCTGTGATCTTCTCAGCCCTTTATCATTTCTATGAAAAGAGTTTATTATGTTTCAGCTTCTGATTTGTGAAATTTACTCTTAAAAGAGCCTTGACCTTAGACTATCAGCCTTCCATTTTCTTTTTAACCTTAGTTAAAAGTTAGCTGCTGACTGACTCAACATTAAAAAAAAGTGGGGGGTGGGGGTACCAAATCAATACTTGGTAAGTGTTCTTGATTTTGAAAGATAATTCTTCTTTAAAGATTATTTAACATAGTTTGACTTCTTTCCCTCACTTCCTCAAGTATAGAAATGGTAGTGACTTTAAGGTAGCTATGTATGTATTTTGGGGTTTTTTTATTCATTTTATGAAATGTTTAGTAACAAGTAAGTTTAATGGTTGCCTTATGCTTCCTTCACTTTGTAAAAAGAGTGGCATAGCCACTTAAAACATTTTTTATTATGCATGTCACTGGAGAGTAGATGTCTTGGTAAGCACCAATAGGTGGAAAAACAGGAAGAATCTTGTCTTTTTTCCTTCCTCATATATGCACACATCCTCCTACAGGATAAGAAACAGACATCTCTTCCAGTTCCTTTAGTTTTTGAGAAACTTGTGAATTATGCTGGAATCATTCTAGACAAAAGTTTGCGAAATACCAGTGCTACCTAGTATAGAAATAAATTTTTGTTAACCACTTATCAAATTGATCTCAATGCCATCTTATCTTCATGTAACCTTTGAGTGAATTGTTGATCTTTAAATGAAATCCAAATGTCAGATTACTATATCTATTTTCAATGGTGTTGCACCGTGACTTTTAGGTAAAAGAAAACGTAAGGCTTCAGATGCTTTTCCCTTACTTGGTTATATTTTCTCAGTATACCTTTGTTCTGATGACTCATTAAGTAAAGTTAGATTATTCTACACTTAAAAGGTAAAGCTCTAGATCAGAGCATTAATTCAGTAATTGGTGGCAAAAAGTTTTGAGTGAAAAATTAAAGTAACCTTTAAGGGCCCATAATAGTAAACTAGTGCTTCTTCAAACTGATAGCCAGAAATCCCAAGTTATCTTATTTTCTTTTTTTCCCCCTTTTAGTAGCACATGTTTAATCCACATTTGGATTTCTTAATTGGCTCCATGAAAGCCAACTTAACTTTCTCATTCTTAAATCTTGTACCAAAAAAAGGATCTTTTGGATGGTATTGTGCTGCTACCAATGGATAGAAGACTATCCATTTTCATGAAGACTTGAATGTCTGTTCACATCAGACACTTTTATGAGAAAGTTTAATGCATTCTTAACCTCTTTCTTTCTAACTACTTGATAAATTTCTAAGCAAACAATCTTTCTGGATGTTCTCTAGCATCTTTTTTTAACAAAGGGTGTTTGCCATATTTTTGATTGTGGTGCTTTACTGGGATCTCCTTGGCAATAGTGTGCCAGGATTTGCATAGACCTAGATCATAAATGGTTTAATATGCATCTGAAAGTAAGAACCATAATAATAGCCAAGATAATTGGAACATAAAACCACAGTCATTGGTCCTTATGTGTTTTTCATATCAAATTTTATCTATTTCTTATTCCTTTTAAATTTGCTGTTATATCTCTTTGTAATACTTAGAAATCATAGATTTCTAAGTCTGGATAGAAAGGGCTCATGGAATATCTTTGGCTTAGATAAGGTAATAAATCAATTTCTCTAATAACTAATAAAATGTTTGTTTTCTAGTTTGTTTTTTCTTTGTGATATGATTTTAGAAGATCTGAATTAATAGTCTAAGGCTAGGCTCTTACACTTGTAGCTTTGTAACACTGGTCAAGTTACTTCTCTTCTGAGCCGTTTATTCATCTGCAAAATGGATATAATACTACTTTAACTTAAGTGATTGTTTGGAAAGTACTTTGGAAGCCCTGAAGTAACATATGAAAATGAGTTACTATTAATCTTTAAGTACCAAATCTGAATATAGAGATAGTATTTTATTTTATGCATTTAAAAATATCATTCAGTGAAGGGGTCTGTGACACACACAAAAAAGGTTAAGAACCCCCACTCTCAGGGGAGCAATTGTTAAAAGAGAAAGGTAAGATAAAGTCAAAGGATCGAACCTTAGGGGATAGGAAATAGAAGCGGTTCTAGAGATAGAGGAAAAAGAAAGGAGTAGGAAAGCTGAAACAAGCAGAGAATAAAAGTTGGGAAAGTCAGTGGGGTGGGAAAAAACATCAAAACTTTTTTTTTTTAAGTCAAAGGAAAAGGGGGAGGGAGTTTGCCAAAAGTATTTCTAATGGGGAGGGTAAGTTACAGCAAGCATTTATTTTTTAAAAGATATTATCAAGGGGCCATGACAGTATATAAAATGAATTGGGTTGGTTTGGTTTTTTTTTAGCCTTGCAAGATATGCAAATACTAATGTAGGTGAATAGTATTTTTTTTATACCTAATTACCATTTCTCTTGTTGAGTTCAGGAGGTAAATGTTGATACCTAAGGTTTTCCTAAGATTAATTGCATTTTTATTTATTTACTCTTAAAAGTTAAGGTCATTTTGCAAGATGGAATACATCATTGGTATTGCAATAGTGTTTGTTCTTGAAATTGAGCCAGTTTAATTTTTAAGTTATTTATTTAAAAATTGTATGCTAAAAATTTAAAAATCATAGAAATTTCCATAAAATTATTGCATCAAAACAATTAAAAAATGAATGTTTAAATGACTATAGTAAAGAAACTTTTTAAAGGGTGCTTTTTTAAAAATTTCTGCTATTCCCTAACCCAAAACTTCTGTTATAGTAGTGACAGATGGAAGGGATGCTTTTAAATCTTGAAACTTTCAGCTAATTTCTTGATTTAAAATATTTGTGATCAAATTAAGCAAAACTTTACTGATATGATTTGATTTTTACTTTATAATTCACTATGAGGAATACTTTGGACAAAAGATATGCATGCTTATCAGTTTATACATAGATGATAGGAAATTTTCTTGTTGTTGTTTTCTATGCATAAAATCTTCAGGCAAATTGCAACCTTTAGGTAAATTTAATTTTTATTTAGGTATCAGTTCCCTTGATGTTATTATGTAATCAAAATGGAAAGCACTAGATATGTAATACCAACTAAGTATTTCAAAGAAATCTTCCAGAGTAAAGTATTAAATTAATATAAGAATTTGTAAAATTAAGTGATGAAATTGTACCCTGCTACTCATCTTCTATGATTATACCCAGATTTTGGTTGTTCTGGAGAGGATTAAGCCCCTCACTGCTTTTTCCCTCATGCTTTTGAATCATTTAATTATTCATTAGTTTTTCTATCAGAGGAATTCAGTGGGAAGTAGGGGAAGCAAAACCCAGATTAGTTAATTTGGCAACTCTAGTCAAGACTTTGAAATCTGAAAGAAAAATGTGAAACTGTGTTCTAAAATAGTCTTTTGAATTATACTTATATATTGTATTTACATTATTCCTTGATACTGATAGTGCAGATTTAACTGAATTTTTCTACAACTTGTGGTTAAATTCTTGAGGTCTAATGTTTAACTGTCTATTTTGGCACCATGCAACCAAAACTGATCAAATAATGCTAAATTTCTAGTTGTTGTGTAATCAAGATAAATGTCTATATTTAAATTTCACATAGAATTTTGTAAAATTGCATTTGTATTAAATGTCAGGGTTAATATAAATTTAGCAGTATTAATAATAATAGTCCTGTCCCTTTAAGGTTTTTGTTAGCTGCATAGTCCTTTGCTAGGGCTTTAAAAATGCATTTGTTCTTTGATTTTCCTCCAGATCATAATGGCATACCAAACCACCAGTGCAGTACTAGAGCAGTGGTGATCAAGGGCTGTGATATATCCCTTGAAGCCTGCCTACATGAAGAAAAAAAAAAACACCATTACAAGTTGTGTTGACACTGTGCTTTAAAATATTACGTTCTTTGAAAGACCTAAAATAATATAACAGTGACCCATCAGGATGCTCGAACAAACCAATAAGATAGAGAAGAAAGACATTTTCATAGCCATACTGAAAGATCTGTATTAGTATTGTGACATTCCTGTTTTGTGGTGATTGTACTGTTTCAAGGCCTGAACATAGTTCCCTTATAAATGGATCATCCAGATTTATCAGTCAAAAGAATAGTCTTTTGAGAGTACAATACTATGTGGGTAATGCAAAACAGGCACTACCTATTCTTTTCTCTACCGGGGAAAACCAACTGAATTGCAAAATAAAGTAGAAAATAGAACAAAGGGATTTTAAAAGTTGATTCTAATGTCAAAGCCACGATTTCCCTTCTCTACCTAACAAGCTTTATTCATCTAAAATCTCTGCAACTTCAACAGTATTGTTCTACTTACCACTAAAGAACTTCACCCATATACATTTAAATATAAACTGAACAATGTTGGGGGGAGAAGTGACAAAACAAGTATAAGTATTTAGCAGTTTTTCCAGACAACCTGAAATGATAACTTTCACTCTATCATGAGGTGTGGAACCTAATAGGAAAAATCCTACCCTGAGAATTATTTTTTTTCAGTGTGATTTTAATAATGTCACCAGAAGGTTACATCCTTTTACACTACAAAATAACTATTCAAAACAGCAATAATATCACATTTGAATGAGAATGTTATTACATATCAGCTATAATAATAGCTTCTGCAGTCATTTCTTAAACATAGCAGCGTGATTTGTAACAGAAGACACACTTCAGTTGGTATTGTTTGTTCATTTAGTCGGACATTTACACCATAAGAGTATAGGCCTTTAAAATTCTGGCATTCAACTATATATGTAAAAGAAACATTAATGTTCATGAAAAAAAATAATGACTAAGCAGACAATTTTTTAGCAATTGGAGTGATTGGTGAAAATCTTAAGATTTGATTACATTTTCAATATTTTGTATATTTCATTGGAGCAATTTATCTCAGAAATATCAAAAAGTTGTATTGTATCATGAAATCAGTGTTGAACATTCATTTTAAAAAAATG